ACTTGCTAATTTTGGAGGCAACTTTTCCACAATCTCCACCTTGACATCAAAATTAAGCAAGTCATGCTTTACGATTAGTCAAAACCTATAGCTCATCAAACTCTAAAACGTCCATAAGAACCTGCAATTTTATATAGAGAAAAAATTGTTTCCGAAAAATAAATAATACTTCCTCCACCTACGAGCCTTCAGGCTCAACTGCGATCAGAAACACCCACCATGTCCAAACATAATTTGAACTTGGCTATAGGAAGACTTTTAGTGAACATATCAGCGGGATTATAATCTGTATGAATCTTGTCCACAACACAATCACCTTTTTCAATGATATCCCGCACAAAATGATAACGAATATCAATATGCTTTGTTCGGTCATGAAACATTTGATCTTTACTCAAGAAGATAGCACTCTGGTTGTCACAGAAAACTGTGGTCACCTTTATTCTATCATCGAGTTCTCCAAATAACCCCTTCAACCAGATATCTTCCTTAACTGCTTCTGTAATCGCCATGTACTCTGCCTCGGTAGAAGACAGGGCAACTGTAGACTGTAACTGGGCTTTCCAACTAACATCACAACCATTTAGAGTAAGCACATACCCTGTAATTGATCTTCGTTTATCCAAATCTTTGCCATAATCTGAATCAACATATCCGAACACCCCAGTGTTAGATTTACCAAAACGTAAACACATAGAAGACGTACCGCGTAAATAACGAAAAATCCACAATACTGCTTTCCAGTGTTCTTTCCCCGGGTTCGCCATGTATCTACTAACCATGCTAACAGCATAAGCCAAATCAGGGCGCGTGCAGATCATAGCATACATCAAAGATCCAACAGCACTAGAGTATGGAACACGTGTCATGTAAGCCATATCAGTCTCATTAGTAGGACTCAAAGCGGATGATAGCTTGAAATGAGCTGCAAAAGGTGTGTTGACAGACTTTGCTTCGTGCATACTGAAGCGTCTTAGGACTTTCTCAATATAACTTTTCTGAGAAAGATGCAAGATCCTAGACTTCCTGTCACGAATAATTTCCATACCTAAAATCTTTTTGGCAGCTCCTAAGTCCTTCATTTCAAATTCAGCTTTCAACTGGTCTTTTAACTTCTGAATCTCCTTCATATCTTTCGCTGCAATCAACATGTCATCCACGTACAAGAGTAAGTAGATCTTTGAACCATTGTCACCTTTCTTAAAACAAACGCAGCTATCATAGGTGCACCTGCTGAATTTGTGACTGGTCATGAAAGAATCGAACCTCTTGTACCATTGTCTAGGAGACTGCTTGAGGCCATAAAGAGTTTTGTTCAATTTGCATACGTAGTTCTCCTTTCCAGGAACTACAAAACCTTCAGGTTGTTGCAAAAAAATCTCTTCCTCAAGCTCACCATTTAGGAAAGTTGTAGTGACATCAAGTTGTTCTAACTCAAAATCATTAGAAGCAACCAACCCCAACAATACACGAATGGAAGTATGTTTGACAACTGGGGAATAAATGTCAGTGTAATCAATACCAGGAATCTGACTGTAGCCTTTAGCTACTAACCGAGCTTTGTATCTTGGTTTATCATTTGGGTTGACAGGTTCCTTGAGCTTGTAGACCCACTTGCATTTAACTGGTCTCTTCCCTTTCGGAATAGGAACTAAATTCCAAGTACTGTTTCGCTGCAAGGATTTCATCTCATTTTGCATAGCGAGCATCCAATCATTTGAGTCTTCAGATTTGATAGCCTCGTCATAATTTGCAGGCTCCGTTGCAGACTCAATATTATCAGCAACAATAAAAGCATAGGCAACCAAATCAGATTCAGCATACCTCTTCGGAGGAATAATATGTCTTCTCGGTCTATCTCTTGCAATGCTTGGAGTAGTAGCTTGTGTTGTGAAGGTGTTGAATCTTCACCAACAACATGCTCATCCGACGAAGAAGAATCTTGATGCTGATTTGTACTCTGATTAGTGGTAGGTGAAGTAGGAAGCTCCACCTCCATTTGAGCATTCTCTTTATTTGCTTCGGATGATACATCTGATGCATCTGTTCTTTTAGAAGAGTCAGCAACTGGTTGAAATATAGCAGACTCATCAAAAGTAACATCTCTTGAGATGATAATTTTCTTCAAATCAAAGCTCCATAACTTGTAACCCTTTACACCTTGATTGTACCCAAGAAAAACGCATTTGATTGCTCTTGGTTCTAGCTTCCCATCATATGCTGGACATCCGAATGGTTTTAAATCTGAATAATTTGCAGGTTTACCGGACCATAATTCAAACGGAGTTTTCTTCTCGATTGCTCGTGACGGTGATCGGTTGATAACATAGCAAGCAGTCGAAGCAGCCTCCGCCCAAAAAGACTTTGGCAATTTGGAATTAGAAAGCATACACCGGACCTTCTCCATAATGGTGCGATTCATTCTTTCAGCTACACCATTTTGTTGAGGTGAATGGACTACTGTGCGATGTCGAGTAATGCCTTCCTTTTGACAATAGACATTAAACTCTTCTGAGCAAAACTCAAGTCCATTATCCGTACGAAGATACTTTACCACCAGACCTGATTGCTTTTCAACCTGAACTTTCCAATTTCTGAAGGTAGAGAAAACGTCTCCTTTATGTTTTAAGAAGAAAGACCACACCTTCCTGGAGAAATCATCAATAATAGTGAGCATATAAATAGCTCCACCTTTTGAAGCAACTCGAGCCGGTCCCCACAAATCCGAGTGAACATAATCAAGTGGTCCTTTCGTTGTATGGATACCACTTGCAAACCTTACTCGTTTTGCCTTGCCATATACACAGTCTTCACAGAAATCCAAATCAACAATCTTTTGTTGACCAAGTAAACCTCTTCGACTCAATTCTGACATGCCTTGAAAACTCATATGGCCGAGTCGAAGGTGCCAAAGACGGGACTGATCTGGATCAGAAAGAGACTTTGAAACAACAGCAGCATCACTCGAAATTGTTTGCCCGTCAAGAAAGTAAAGATCTGAGGTTTTTCGTTCGGCTCTCAGTTTGTCGGAACCGTCTTTGAATACCCTGAGAACTCCACCTTTACCAGCAAACTCGTATCCCTTTTTGTCAAAGGAACTGAGAGATAACAAGTTTCTTCTGAGGTCAGGAACATATCTAACATCCCCCATGGTTCGAATAACTCCGTCAAACATACGGATCCTGACTGTACCATGTCCAAGAACTGGACATGTAGTATTGTTACCCATCAACACATAGCCCTGGTTAACCTTTTCAAATGTGTAAACCAACTTTTGTTGTGACACATATGAAAAGTACAACCAGAGTCGAGTATCCAATCACCAGTGGAATCCAGTTTATCTGAATAAACTGTCAAAAGTTCTCCAATACCTTCGACCTCAGCTAGATCGGCTTCACCCGAAGTGCTAGCTTGTTTACCATTTGCTGCCGTCTTCTCTTTTTCTTTGTTCTTCAACTTGAAGCATTCTTCAAGCACGTGTCCCTTCTTGTGACAATAGTTGCAAAACTTTCGTTTGCCTTTTGACTTGGATCTGGTTCTGTTGGAAGATTGAGAAGTTCTACTTCTCTCTGTTGTTCTTCCTCTGGCATTCAAACCTTCGGCTTTAGCATCACTTGAACCACCACCAGTAATATGCTTCATCTTCTCTTTGGAATCCAAAGCTGTATAGACTTCATCTAAAACTAGAGTGTCACGGCTATAGATAATAGTATCACGAAAATGGCTATAGGATTCTGGCAACGACGATAGTAAGAATAGAGCCAAATCTTCATCTTCATACTGAACATCCATATTCTCTAAGTTATTTACTAACTCTTTAAATGTGGATATATGTTCAGTTAAAGAGCCTCCTTCAATCATCTTGAGATTGAACAATCGTTGCTTCAAATGCAACTTGTTTGGTAAGCTTTTGGTCATCAACAGTTGTTCCAACTTTAGCCATAAAGAAGCCGCTGACGTTTCTTTTAGAACATCTTGCAAAACATCGTTTGACAAGTGCAAACGAATTTGGGATAAAGCCTTCAGATCTTTCATCTCCTTTTCTTCTTCGGTCCATGTATCGGGCATCTTATTGAAACCCAAGAGCGCCTTGTGTAAATCCATCTGAATGAGAATGTGTCTCATCTTTACTTGCCACAACGGAAATCGGGTGTTACGATCCAGTAGTGGAATATCGTATTTTACCGAAGACATGATTAATTACTTGATAAAATGATCCCAACGAGCTAATATCACAACCCGGATGCTCTGATACCAATTGTTGTAAAATACGACGGATCCAAATTGACTTAAATAATATTAGCTCAATGCGGAATGGGATCAAAAATTATCAAAGCGTAATAATCACAACGTAATACGAATAAAATAAATAGAATAGAGACACAGGAATTTACGTGGAAACCCAAATCGGGAAAAAACCACGGGCGGAGGAAGCCGAGAAACAATTCACTATAATTTGCAGTGTTTACAGGGATTATGAAAGAGATTACAAATAGAATGGGAGAGCTAAAATATACGGTGGTGTATCAGTATATATATATGTAATGCTTTTCTATATATACTTCAATGATTTTTGGTTGTGTTCTACGCTATTGTTCTGCTGCAACACAGATATTTATAGGGAGAGTAGCCGTAAAGTTTCTTCCAATTAACACCAAATTGCCGTAATGTTTGACAACTTTTTTACCGTCCAAATTTGCCGTCCATTGACAATAATAAACAATTGTTTAGCAAAACAATTATTTGGCCGACTGTTGCGTAGTCAAAGAATTCAATTCAAATGGAGCCGCCATTTTTGACATATCAATATATATGCCGTCCATCAATATTCAATTACCATATATATTACTATTCATAGTCAAACTATGAATAGTAAATAATAAGTTACTGAAATAACCCCTAAACTATTTGCCACTTGCTAATTTTGGAGGCAACTTTTCCATACAAATAGTGGAGAAAGAGGACCTTGATCTTGTAAGCCATTATATTATGCTTTACAAATGATCAGGTTTAACATGTCAAACTATAATCATATTGCAAAAGCTATACCAATGACTCTTCAATGCTACTTACAGAAAAACCATCTTTCTGGATTGAGGAAAACTTACTTAAAGATATCATTTGACACTGTACAACAATTGATGGATGTAAAGCGTGACCTGATGCACGTGGTTGAAAGAAATCAAAAAAAGTCTAATGCTTCAGAGGCATATGAGTCCATAATAGCAGGCAAACAGTATGCATTTCCTGATTGAATCTTGAAAGTTTTTATAAGTACTTCTTTAGAAAGGAGCTTGTAGCAATTTCAAAACGTTTAACCTGATTTCTGTTCTTGACTTCACAGAAAAGAGCAAATCCAAGATTTTGTATATTGTATTTCCGATCTACGGGAGTATGATGTTCCTTACCATGTCCGTTTTGCCATTGATAAAGGTGATAATTTGTTTTTTTTTTTAATAAAGTTCTTGTATATCATATCATTTATTATAATGTACATCTCTCACTTTATTTTACTCCAATCATAATTTTTCAGATGTAAGATGCGGATTGTGGTATGATGTTAGTGTGTCGAGTGATGGAGTTAAGTTAGAAAGGAGGCATGATCTTCTTCAACGTGCTGAAGTTCATGTTTGTGCATTTGACATAGAGACCACAAAGCTTCCATTAAAGTTTCCAGATGCTGAGTATGATTTAGTTATGATGATCTCATACATGGTTAATGGGCGAGGATATCTTATTATTAATAGAGAGGTAGATACAATAAATGCATCATTATCTTTAAATTCAAATAAGTATGATAATTGCAATTTGACTTAGTTTAAGTTGGTCTTAATTGGTTTCTTTTGCAATTATTTTCAGTGTGTTGGTGAAGATGTAGAGGATTTGGAATATACTCCAAAAGCTGAATTTGAAGGATACTTTAAAGTGACAAATTTGAAGAATGAGGTGTGATTTCTTAATATCCCTTCAAATTTTATTTATATGGTATCTAATATGCATGCTTTGATTCAACATTTCAATAACTTTTTACAGGAAGAACTTATCAAATTATGGTTTGCTCATATGAAAGAGGTGAAACCTGGTATTTATGTCACATACAATGGTGACATATTTGATTGGCCATTCATGGAAAGAAGGGCAGCTCATCATGGTTTGATAATGAAGGATGTAAGTCAACATTAAATTTTGAAGTTATATAATTGAGTGCCAATTTCCAGTATACTAGAATAGTAATTGTTTTTATTAGTATATTCTATTTTAGCATTGTATTTGTATTCAATCATTGCTGAATATCTTATGTATATCCATCTCAAAATTATGGGGATCTCATGTTTATATATCCTGTTTTATCAATGGAAACAATCAAGGAAATTTACCTAACTTTGGATTTATTATTATTTTTTGCTCAATTTTTTTTGGGGTGAAGGAGCTAGGGTTTCAATGTGACACAGTGCAAGGTGAATGTCGTGCTAAATTTGCATGTCATCTGGATTGTTTTGCATGGGTCAAACGTGATAGTTATCTACCTCAAGGAAGCCATGGTTTGAAGGTAATTATTATTATCATTATTATAATTCATTTCAATATCCAAATATTTTTCAAATTTACAACTGAATTTATCATCTACTATGATATCAGGCTGTCACTAAAGCCAAATTGGGCTATGATCCATTGGAGGTAAATCCTGAAGATATGGTTCGTTTTGCAAAGGAAAAACCCCAGGTATACTTTTTTACAACTGCTATTTTGTTTTCTATGGAGATTTAAAATTTTAAGTTTTCTAGAACAATTCTTATATGTTCCATTTTCAGAAAAATAAAAACTTGGTTTATTTCAGATGATGGCTTCATACTCAGTTTCTGATGCTGTGTCAACATACTACTTGTATATGACTTATGTTCATCCCTTCATTTTCTCTCTTGCAACTATAATACCAATGCCTCCTGATGAAGTCTTGCGTAAAGGAAGTGGGACCCTTTGTGAAATGCTCCTCATGGTTGAGGTATGTGGTTTGGACATATTATATATAAGGGTAAATATCACCTTATATGAGCTCTATACATCAAAGAACATGTTCTTTTTATACATAGTTTTGGACTTAATGTACATGCAGGCATACGTGGCAAATGTTGTATGTCCAAACAAGCACCAATCTGAAGCAGAAAAGTTCCACAATGGGCGCCTTTTAGAGAGTGAGACATACATTGGTGGCCATGTGGAGTGTTTGGAAACTGGTGTCTTCAGATCTGACCTTCCAACTTCTTTCAAACTTGATCCATCTGCTTTCACTGTAATTCACAACTCATTTATGGAATTTTTACTTTTACAATTATTCATCACTTGGGGTGATAACTAAAAGTTTAAATTATATATCTTTTTTCACAGCAACTTATCGAAAACCTTGATCGGGATCTTCAGTATGCTATTAAAGTGGAGGGTAAAATGGACATTGAAACAGTCTCAAATTACGATGAAGTAAAGGATACTATTACAGAAAAGGTAATGTTAATAGTTAATTGACAATTTCTTTTGTATTTTATTGGTCAATCAAAGTCTCTATGGGACATTCATTGTAATTATTTATTTGTGCAGCTTATATCATTAAGAGATGAACCTATTCGAGAAGAATGCCCCCTTATTTATCATCTAGATGTTGCTGCAATGTATCCCAACATTATATTAACAAACAGACTTCAGGTATATTGCATGTTAACCATTTTTTTAGAAATTAAAAAAACAGATAATTTTCTTACCCATACTAGCAACTACTTCATTTTTTTTTTTAAATAATAACAACGTGCCATGTCAGCCACCATCAATAGTTACAGAGGAAGTGTGCACTGCATGTGATTTCAATCGCCCTGGGAAAACTTGTCTTAGGAAACTTGAATGGAAATGGCGTTGGGAGACATACACAGCAAAGAGAAGGTACCATATTTACGGATTTACCCCTCTATTGTAACATAATTTACCAACAGCTATTTATTGATTTTAAAATTTGGGTATTAGTGATTACTATCATTTGAAGAGGCAAATTGAATCTGAGGTTGTTGCTGTTGATGGATTCAAATCAAAATCATTCCTTGATTTGTCTAAAGTGGACCAACAACTGAAGCTGAAAGAACGTTTAAAGAAATACTGTCAAAAGGTATATAATTTTTTATGTTATAAACTTTAAATTTTATGTGACATGACATGTTAGCATTTATAATAACATATTGTGATGTTACAGGCGTATAAACGAGTGCTTGAGAAGCCAACTACTGAAACTAGAGAAGCAGGGATTTGCATGCGTGAAAATGCATTTTATGTTGATACTGTCAGAAGGCAAGCATTTAACCAATTTTGCAAATTAGACTGATAATATAATTGTCTGTATTTGTTTTTATGACATGTTATTTTTGTGCTTTATAGTTTTCGTGATAGAAGATATGAATACAAAGGACTTAATAAATAATGGAAAGGGAAGTTGTCAGAAGCAAAAGCTAATGGAAATCCTATTAAGATTCAGGAAGCACAAGATATGGTGGTTCTTTATGATTCACTACAGCTGGCGCATAAATGTATTCTGAATTCCTTCTATGGATATGTCATGCGCAAGTATGTTTTTTGATCTTTTACTTTCTGGATTTTGTATCTGAATAGTCTTCTATCTTTGTATTTTTTATCATTTAATGTAAAAATAAAATGAAATTGTTACAGAGGTGCAAGATGGTATTCAATGGAAATGGCTGGAGTTGTTACATATACTGGAGCAAAAATAATCAAAAAGGCCAATAAACTTGTTGAAAAAATTGGGAAGCCTCTAGAATTAGACACAGATGGTATATGGTGTGTTTTGCCAGGGTCATTTCCGGAAAACTTTACCTTCAAATTTAGGTACCCTCTTTTTCCTGCCTAGTTATTCATTTGGAAAATGATCATCATGATTTGATGTTGACAGTTATGCCCTTTTATGAAAATTTGATCACAGAGACTCAAAGAAGAAGTTTACAATCTCATATCCATGTGTTATGCTCAATGTTGATGTGGCAAGAAACAACACAAATGACCAATACCAGGTTAGATAAAATATAAATCCTCTTTTTATATTTTATATAGCTTATTAGAAGTTAGAAATATATATTCTACAAACTACAAACATCTTATTTTTTTTTTCATCAGACTCTCAAAGATCCTATCAACAGAACATACACAACACACAGTGAATGTTCAATTGAATTTGAAGTGGATGGACCATATAAGGTAATTAGTTAAATCCTAAAAGTGACCTCATATTTTGACAATTATTAATTATTAATCATGATATTTATTGTGAATGTAGGCAATGATTCTTCCTGCTTCTAAAGAAGAGAATAAATTGATTAAAAAAAGGTATGCTGTTTTTAATGACGATGGTACCCTTGCTGAGCTTAAAGGTTTTGAGATAAAGAGAAGGGGTGAACTAAAGCTCATTAAAGTTTTCCAAGTACACTCTCCTTCTCTAATAAACCTGTTTGACTTAATTTTCTTTTTTCAGTTATCTTTGACCATTTACTTTTGTGCATTTTTCTCATACGTGTTGATGTTGATGTACATCTCTTTTCAGGCTGAGCTATTTGACAAATTTCTTCATGGGTCAACTTTAGAGGAATGTTATTCAGTAGTTGCTTCTGTTGCAAATTGTTGGCTTGATCTTCTTGATGTATGTAAATTGTAAACCAAACTTCATTTTTTCCATTTTTGGTGTTTCCTTAATCTCTTTTGTATTAAATTTTCTACTACAGTTTTGTTATCTCTTTCTTTTTTTGTTTGTTAACCAAAAAAAGAAAACAAGAACATGTTTTTTTGGATATTGTGACTGATTAGTAAATATTTTTCAGAATCAAGGCAATGATATTGCAGATAGTGAATTGCTTGATTACATATCAGAATCAAGCACAATGAGCAAGTCTTTAGCAGACTATGGAGTGCAGAAATCATGTGCTGTAACCACAGCAAAACGTTTGGCTGATTTTCTTGGTGATACCATGGTTAAAGACAAAGGACTTGTTTGTCAATATGTCGTTGCATGTGAACCAAGGGTAATTGTGTAATTTCTTTTTCAAAAACTTACCTTTAAGTATCTTCATTTGTGTATTCATGGTTAAAATATTATGTTGCTGTTATGGCTAACATATTGCTAGTATCAGCAAAACAAATATAAGTATGTTGCTGTTATTGGTAAAAAATAAAGTACATTGCCTATTCCTATAAAAAAGGAAAAAGTATGTTGCTATTCTCACCAATTAGCCTATGTTTCAAAGGCTTTTAGCATGTGTTAAGTTGATCTTTTGTAAAGTTTATTTCATAAATAATGTTTAGAGGTTTTAGCATGTGTAAAGTTGATTTTCTTTTCTTATTATTATATTGCTTTAAAAATCTACTACTGATATAATATTAAACAGGGGAAAGACGTGAGTGAACGAGCAGTTCCTGTTGCAATATTTGAAGCTGATCCAGGTGAACCTCTAGACATTTATTCTTAAAACCTGAAAAATTGTAAAAGATACAAAGTTACAAGCAAGTATTACATGTTTGTTTGCAGAAATTATGAAGTTGTATGTGAAAAAATGGTGCAAGATCTCATCAGATATTGGCATTCGATCCATTATTGGCTGGGAATATTACAAAAAACGTCTCAGATTTGCTATTCAAAAAATCATTACAATTCCTGCAGCATTGCAGAAGGTGCAATGTTTTTTATGATCCCTTTTTCTAGATTTTTATTCTCTACAAATAGAGACCAATAGCGAAATACTTTTATAGTTTTCTATTCACAGTGGAATATAATAATATATTTCAGGTTTCAAATCCTGTTCCAAGAGTAGCTCATCCTGTATGGTTGCACAAGAAGATTTCTGAGAGAGATGACAAAATGAGGCAAACAAAATTACCTTTTAAACAAGTAAATGATGAAAATGGAAAAGAACATGTACTTCAAGAACAGGAAGTTGTGGATTTTGAAGATTTCAGAAGCAAAGGAAAATCTGCCCGTTATACCCCTAGACCTATTGTTCGTTCTTATGAAACTAATGGTAAAACAACTTCTTCCAAGGAAAAAGTTGACCATGGTCAAAGCATGAATCCAGATATGGAGGATAATATAGAGTATAGACAGACATACTTGACATTGGAAAGTCAGACTTATCTGCAGCCCAAGCTTACTGTGATAGTTTACTCAAAGCTCTACAAACAAGGTTAGTCTTGCTATCATAGTTTATTCCAAACTCTAAAAGCAGATCTCTAATTATCTAAAAAAAAAATTCCAAGTTTAGTTTAAGTGGTTTGAGACTTTGAGTAATTTGTATCTTCTCTAATTTCTAAGTTTCTTGTTTTTAGCGACATATCTGAGTGGATTGAGCTTGAGCCCATGCAGTTTTGGCACTCACTGCTCTAATTCGTATTTATTTAGACTGTTTATCATGTCTTTATCTCATATTATTATTTTCATATCTGTTTATAGTTAATTTAACCAAGGTTTGCCTCTGATGCTTTTTTTATGACAGTATAACTATGGTGGAATTCAGGCTAAATTAAATGAAAAAAATGGTGATCCCCAGGTGGAGTTAGTCTCCAGCTGGAATATAGCAGAAAACCTGCCCAAGGAGACTCAGGTACATAACCTGTGTCAACATGAAGCATCAAAATTTACAATTTTACCCCTTCCATTTGCTATAACTTATATAACTGTCATCTGATACCATTTAGATTCTTTTTTATTTTACAGGATCATTTCATTTTAATAGTCACTGAGTTCATGCACCTCCCATGGAAGTTTACACAAGATGAAGCCATGAAAAGAGCAGCTATAAGAAATGATGATGACTCATGCACTCCATCCATCCCAGCTGCAGCTGCTGAATCATTTGAGTCATGTGTCACTGAACATCTTAGGGACCAGGTTGGAATTAAAAATTATGATCAACTATTTATTTAGAAATATTTAGTTTTGATTAAATTGTGAAATTTCGTTATTACTTAAAAACCCATTAATGGTCATTTTAATGAATAATTAGGTTTTTGTCTTGTTAAAGCATTTTATTTTGAAAGTACAATATTATATTTAATGGCTTTTTCAAAGTATGTCTGATTATAGCATTCTACTTTCAAAGTATAATGCAAAACAATTCTTTATTAGAACGTGATAGTTCAATCATTTTTTTCATTATTTACCAGTACCATCCTTTGGGTTACTACAAAGTAAAAAAAAAATACAGTTTTACTGATTTTTCCTAAATTAGCATTCTATAAAAAATAATTGGATTAAAAAGTAACTAAAAAAACATCTTTAATGCACTAAATAGCAACATACTTTGTTTATTTTTAGTATTTAAGTCAGAATTATAACAAATAAAAATTTTAAGTAATAAATATGTTAAAGTTTGTAAATAGTAGCTTTAGAAGCTAGTGTAAAAGTTGTATGTATTATGTTTGTGAACCAAATGTCATTTTGATTATTTATGAATACGTGGAAATTATGTTATTATATAACCTTTTATAAGCTATTTTGAGTTTATAGGTCTTTTGTTTATGATAAAGATTAAAGCATATGACTCGTCCACTAAAATATAAATAGTGCATAGAAATGAAAAATAGTGCACATAAATAGAAATTGTAACACACTATTTTGCAAATGTGTAAGAACAAACCCATGATGTAGTTAATCTTGAAAAAAGGTTGGTTATATTATAATAACCCTTAGATATATTGGTAAAATACCATGTTGGAGGGTTGTGTAGTTTCGAGAAGATTTGTTGAATTTATATTAATTTAACTGCTAGTCGATAGCCGATGTTTGAGATTATGGAAGTGAGACTTAATACAATCAAAACGATTAAAATTTGGCCTTTGAGTGTATCCATGAAAGTTTAGAGTATGTGTGCAAAAAGATCGACTAAAATGGAGTCAGTATGAGAAAGTTATAGTCATCTGAAGTTGGGAAGAAAGTACATTGTGAAACAAGAAGATAGTGAGTACGCACCACATAAAAGTTAAATTGACTGACATCATTAAATGAGAACGCAACATGTGCGTATGAGAAAATACGACGCAACGAGGCCGATTTAGTGAATCAACATATAAACATAAAGAAATCAATGTTGACCCTCATTTCATATGCATACACTACACTATAGAAAGCAGGGGATGACCAGTTATGGTGGTTTTTATAACACCCTGTTTCGAGTCATTTCATGATTCGGGGTTGTGACCCGAAGATAAAGTATCATAAGGCTTTGGGCTTTGGGTAAAGAGAGGTTTAAATCCATTTGGAAGTGGGTAATGTGGATTATGTGATCCAAGAGTTCGGTTTGTGCTTTGGAGCCCAATGGTATAATAGTAAAGTGATGGTTCGAGTCTTTCATGAATTTAGGATTTAAGTTCGGAAGGTTTCAAGGAAAAGTAGAGTTGATAGGATTATAGAGCTTCTTGTTACCT